TCAATAATGACAATTTTTTCGATAACTCAGCCATTTCGTGACGGATCCTTCTCATCTTCGAACTCGACCGAGACATTGTTAAAACTGAACTGTGTAGAAAATTTCATCATGATCTGATTCTCCTTTCGAAAGTTATCGTGTAAACGGCCGGCCGGACATACTAACCGATTCTAGAGTGTACTCACTTTTTGAGTACACAAAAAAGAGATTTTTCATCAGCACTTGAATATTATCAAAAAAATTATAAGATATTAGCTCGTAAAATTTGACCATCAAAATGCATTGTGAAATACTACAAATAGAAAACAATATCGGTTGGCTCAGATCACTCTGTAATGAGTATATAAAACAAGAGGTAAAAGTGCGAGTGTTCTGAAAACATATTCAATACTTTTCTTAGGTCAAAAAATTTTCTATCTTAATTTTCAATAAATATTATTTTTCATCACTTAATTATAACCATACACTGTGACCAGTACCTCAAAAAGAATCCAATCATTGAAAAAAAGATCATTTTAATATATATACCAGTATGGAACCATTGTATAATCAAAGATTACTTTTATATAATTTTTTCTTTAAATATGTCAATTTCAATGTCAATCTAATGAATTTTGTATGAGAAACTTGCAAATTCTCTTTTACTTATATAAACATGCCTACTCCATAGTGATGGTATTCATAAAAGTTTGTACTTGCAGTAGTATCTGATTTTACTACACACACTAATGGTTTACTTTATTTATTTTATTCAGTACTCTTGTACTGCATTGATTTTTATTTAAATATAAAGTCAATAATAAAATAGAGATACATTATGCTGTAAATGTTTCAACTTAAAAGCAAATATAAGGCAATAAGAAATAAGTCAAGAAAGCCATATAATAAACTGTTAGTTTAAGCGAGAAATAAAGAAAAATTGTACAATGTACAATGTTTTATAATAAAAAAAAAAAATAAGTAAAGAAAAAGATGAGAAAATAAACCAATCCAGTAGTAATCATTTTTTCATATAATTATTAAAAAAAAGTCAACAGTAAGAGAAAAAAAAAATGAAAAATTCAGTCTATATTGTAATACAAATGTTCTTGTACTAACTACATAACCATAATCACCCGATATTTTTGATTTTTTTGTTCAATGCATTCAATCTGAAAGTAGTATTTCAATAGAAAATAAAAATTTTTGTTTTAATAAATAAAATAAAATTGAAAAGCATTATCAAGTGAACAATACTATCGTCAGAAATTGAATTAAAACAATACTACCGAGTAAAAAAGTGCTTATATTTTGACTTCAAAAAAAAAAAGACTCAATAAACCCTAAAGCTTTTTTTGATACTTTTCTTCTTAACAAATAAAATGTCGCATGTCTATATTGTATTTCAGATAGAATATTAGCTCTTCCATATATGCAGCAATTCTATTAAAGACTAGACTTTCTAACAAAGGAATTTGATTTGTAAATTTCTTTGTAGATAATGAAATTAGTATACGTACTATCTTCATCAGAATTACTGTTTCTTCTCCATGGTTTTGTTTTAGACTTTCCATTAAAATTAAATCCATCATTATCATCTTGATCAGTTTTATTGTTTGTCTCAAACCATTCTTTTGATAATATAGGAATATCTTTATTTTTTTTTGAAGATGAAAAATTTTTTGTTCCAAATATATCTTCTGTTGAACTTGTTGAAACACGACGAAAATTTGATGAATAATCAGTATCTTGAGGTTTTTTTGCAAATAATGCTTTAAATTTATCATCTTGTGAACTTGATGATAATCGTCGAACTCCAATATTATTATTAAGTGTAGTAGGTAATGAAAATTGATTATTATTAGTATTATTCTTATTAAATTCTTGTTCATATTCATCTTTTGGTAAAGAATTAGATTTTCTTGATGTACTAGATGAAGATCTTGATGAATCATCAATATCATTGTGTTCTTTTGTTGGTATTGTAGATCCATAATGATTATTATCGTCTTCGAAAAGATTAGATTTTTTCGAAATATTAACTGAAGATTTTTGTGAATGACTTGGAGAATTATTTTTTTCATTTGATGAATCAAATAGATTATAGTTATCTTCATTTTTAGTAGGACCAGATTTTTTTATTGTACTTTGCGATGAATTTGATGAACTATCAGTATCATTGTTCTTTTTTGTTAGTGTTGTAGATTTATAATGATTATCTTCATCTTCGGAAAGATCAGATTTTCGTACATCATCTGCATCATTGCTTGTTTTCATTAATCTATCAAGTAGATCATAGTTATATTCATCTTTAGATGCATCAGATTTCTTCAATGTACTTGACGAAGAATCTTGTAAATTATCAATATTATTATTTTTTTGTGTTAATGTTGTAGATTTGTAATGATCATTATCGTTATCAAAAAGATCAGATTTAGTTGAACTAGTAGATGAAGATTTTCGTGAATGACCAATAGGATTATTTTCATGTTTAGAAGGATCAGATTTCTTAAAAAATCCATGTAAAGAATTTGATGAATTATCAGCATCATTATTTTTTTTTGTTAATATTGTAGATTTATAATTTTCACTATCATCTTCAAAAAATTCAGATTTTTTTGAAGTATTAGATGGAAATTTTCGTAAATGATCAGTAGTATTATTTTTTCCATTTAATAAATCATAATTATCTTCATCTTTAGAAGAATTAGATTTTCTTGAAGAACTATTCAACGAACTTGATAAATTATTAGCATTAGTATTTTTTTTTGTTAATATTGTAGGTTTATAATGATTATTTTCATCTTCTGAAGAAAGATCAGATTTTTTCGAAATACTAGATGAAGATTTTCGTGAATGAACAGCCGCATTATTTTGTTCAAGTAATAGTTTTGATCGATCATAATTATCTTTAGATGGATCAGGTTTTTTTAAAATAATAGACGAAGTTCTAGATGAATTATTACTATCACTTTCATTTTCTACAAAAAAAAAAACAACAATAAATGTTGGTTTTTAATGATAAAATCATTTTTTTACTATCGGTTGAATGTGATTCAGATATATGCGGTCGACCCTATATATTGATTATGAAATATTTAAAATTCAATTATCGAAAAGAGAAAAAAAAAACTTACAAATCGAGAAGTCGATGGTCGAGCATCATTGTCATTCGTTTCATCAAAATCCGATGAATAATTTTCATCATCATTCTTTTGCGATGTTGTTATATTTTCAGTGTTTAAATTTTGATTATTCTCAATAAATTTCAAAATATTTTTTTTTTTTTGTTTATATTTAAATTTATAAAATTCTACTTACTGGAACTACAGGTGGATTACGATTAGCGGAATATATACGTGGTTTTTTGTTATCTTCTGCATATATTTAAATGAGATACAAAGAAAAATTTAACATTAATCTATGATTAAATACCTGTAGGAGGTGGAGTTGGCGTTCGAGGTATATCTGGAGAATGATTTTTGGGTGTTATTATAACATTAGGTGGAGTTGAATTTTTTCGAGTATTAGAAGAATTAGATCGACTTCTTAATAAAAAACGAGGTGCAAATGAACGTCGATAACGAGATGGTTCAAGTGTAAGTGAAACAGTTGATCGTGTTTTTTTTTCAAATCGTTTATATCGACAACTTTAAAACAAAAATTAAATAAGAATTTTAGTAAATATAAAATAACAAACCATCGACATGGTTTTATATTTTTAACATCAACAATACCAAATAAACCATGTTTACCACCTAATGGTACATTACGTTTATGTCTATGTTCACAACATGCTGATATTCGACTATCAATAAGACCATTTATATAAAGAGCTAATGCAAATGGATAATCTGAATGACGTCGAGATTCGAATTCAAATGTTTCTAAATGAATATATATATATATATTGAATTTAAAGAAAAGAAATAATTAATTTTTACCATAAGGTTTAACATAACCTTTAAAAACAATAAGATTTTCTCCACCACAATGTTGTTGTGAAACAACAATTTCATCACCATCAGGTCGAAACCATGTTATATCATAATCAGCATATTTCTTTGGTCCATAATAGATCATTATTACTCGACGACGTTCTTTACTTCGTGACTATTTTAATACAATATTAGAAAGCAAAACATTTTATATTTTATTATTATCATTTAATTAATATCTCAAAAATAACATATCCTCTTATGTTGAAATTTTTCCGGAGCATTCTAATATCCGCGAGGACTTACCTATGAAAAAAACTTTCAGATTCAAATTTGATTTTTCTTAAAAATTTACTAACATTGTAAGAACTTAGAAAGGGGACAGTGCATGGAAACGAACTCTTATAAGCTTCATCGGGATAGATTCATATCATTTTGTGCTTTTACTAGCCTACAGATCTGCTGCTGATGGAACTAAAATCTATGACACACTTCAAACTATTACCTCTTTAGCAACGACACATCATGAATATGACAAACATCCTCCTTGCGTCACAAACCTTATATCAATAAGGGAGCGCTTCAAAATATATTCCGGTCGGTCGTTGTTCCTTCATTCCACTATTCCTTCATTTATCTATTCTTTTCTCTATGTCTCTATTACAGAACATTTGATTATGTTGTACCGCCTTCTCGTACAAAAGTGAGCTTTTTCTTTTATTTCACTCATCAAACTATCGATTGCAAATCGAAATCAGAAATGCTCATTCTGTGTAGATAAATTTCATTGTGAAACTATTTGAGTGTTCATAAATAAAACAATTTTCTAATTAAAAATGCAACTGTATCATTTTTTTTCGGAACGGTCTTCAATAACTTAAACTGTTAATATTCATTAGTCTTCACTTAATAATCAAATAAAATAAAGACATAAATGTCAACAATTAAAATAATTCAAGACCGCTCCGAAAAAAAAATGATACGGTTGCATTTTTAATTAGAAAATTTTTTTATTTATGAACACTCAAATAGTTTCGCAATGAAATTTATCTACACAGAATGAGCATTTCTGATTTCGATTTGCAATCGATAGTTTGATGAGTGAAATAAAAGAAAAAGCTCACTTTTGTACGAGAAGGCGGTACAACATAATCAAATGTTCTGTAATAGAGACATAGAGAAAAGGATAGATAAATGAAGGAACAACGACCGACCGACCGGAATATATTTTGAAGCGCTTCCTAAGTTTTTGTTATTATTGAATTTCTCAATAATTAAGTAAAAACACAGTGAAGAAATGCATCCCTAGATAAATAGAATCTGTTTGTGATTATCAACAGCGACTACATTGTGTTTGACATTTTAATTCCGCAGAGATTTTGCTTTATTATTTCTGTATGTTTGCAAGTCTCTACATTATATCTGACAGCATCTACATTCATAGAAAAAACAATAGAATAAACTTTTCTTCAAGCACTACAATAACAATTCAATGATTTTGACTTTTAACGTTTAATTCATCGATTTTCAATCAATCTGATAATATATTTTGAACTCTTTTACTCGAACTTACAAACATTAGAGGATAATAAGAATAAAATTTTATTAAATTTAATCACAAAACATATCTAATTTAATATTTCAACAAACAAAAAAAAAAAAAAAAGAAAAATTATTTTACCTTGACCTTTGCTGAATAACGAGCGAAACGTTTTCTCGAGTCATGTAATGAATGATGTGCAGATTTTGGACGTACTGGCGAATGATTTTTCTTTGTCTATCAAACGAAAAGAAAGCATATTTATATGATTTAATCGATATTTTAATATATTAACTAATGTTGGTGAATGACGAACATTTAATGAACTATGAGATATACCTCGACGAGTATGTTTTGATTCCTATAAAATACTCAATCAAAAGTAAATAAAAAATTTAAATATCAAATAACAAACTGTTTTTTTATCTACATGAACACGTTTAACTGAAAAATCAAATCGATTACGAATATGTGTTCGACGTTTTTGTTCTTCTTCTAATATACTAAAATTATAAACAATATAAAAATTCATCTAAAAAAAAAAAAAAAAAAGAAAATCTCTATTTACTAATGATGAACAGTTCTTGATAATTTATCTGCTGATATTGGTCGTCGTTGTCGTCTTGATCGTTGATTAAGTACAACTTCAGTGGTTGTTGGAGGTAAAATTTCACCTTCACGATTAATCTAAATAGATATATCGAATAAAATTATTTAAAAAAAATTAAATTCTTACTAATCCAGCTTTTATTAAATGTCGACGAATACGTTTGTTTTGAAAATATATATTTATCTTAGGATCAATTTGATTATTAGAATTTCTATGGTAAAAAAGGAACTTTTCTTTTTTCTATATTGATCGATTGTTTTTTTCAAAACTTACTGTAAATCCGTCATTGTATTTTTCTATTATGAATTGATCAAATTATGAAAAATACTTTTTTCATATACTGTGATTTTGGATTGAATAAATATAAAAAAAAAAAAAGAATTGCTTCTCTTTCTCTTTCTTCTTCTTCTTCTTCTTCTTCTTCTTCTTCTTCTCAATGTGCGCAAATTGTCAATAAAAAAAAAAAGAAATTCTTTCATTTTGCATAGGCAACAACTAACAACAAAGGAAAAGAGTAAAAACAAATATAGAAACTAATGTCGATAAAATTTTTTTTTTTAAAGAACTAACAACGAAGACATTTTCTATGAAATAATAAATATAAAGTGAAATACATAGGATTTTATAAAATACTTTTCTATTGATATCCTATTATTTGCTGTAGTTGAACTCTGATAACTTTCATTTTTGTCAATTTCAACATCGTCGAATGAATCTATAATCGAAAAAAGAGTTTAGATCGATTCTATATAAAACATTTTATTATAATTAATTAGTTTATTATCAAAGCAATTGATTATCATCTCAGTTGATAATCAAGTCAATTGAATCTGTTGTCTAGTCAAGGATTTGGATGTGCTGACATGAGTATCAGAACTGAGTACTGAACAATTTTTCCTATTCTTTTGCTTTACTTCGTCCTGGTGAACAGTAGAACACGAGTAAAAATTCTTTTTTTTTGTTTTTTTACTTTAGATCATGAAAGTATATATTAGTTATCTTATAGTGAATTTATTTCGTACCATTTTCAAATACAACAAATAAATTTTTCAATAATGACTTATATTATAAATACAAGAAACATATAGAAATATTCTGATGAACTATTTTAATAACATGTTCATCAGAGAAAACACATTAAAAAAATATAAACTCATGGGGTTTTATCATTATTATCTTAACACATAGTGGATGTTATTAAGAAAAAGAAAAAGTACTTGATAACAAACATAATATTAAGAAAATTATAAAACAGAGACGAGCATAAGTGTAGATGGAGAGTGCAATCAGATTCATACTCATACCCTAAGTTGATGACCCATTGATATAATAACCCAGAGTTGTAACCGATTAGATCAGGAATAGATCGGTTGGACAATATTTTATAGATAGACTATTTTTCTCTAATGAAACTTGTTGAGAGTAAGTTTACTTGCTCTTATCAAAAATAATCAAATTGTGTTGCTTCAAAAACGATTAATTTGATTTCTTTAATCGAAATATTTTTAATTTTTTAAAAAACACAATCAAAACTGGATTATATGACCTAACATTATATCATCTATGTTTTGGTAAAGATCAAATTTAGGTTTGTTGGAAAAGGATAAGTCGAACTAAATTCAAGATTTCAAGTTAGCCAAGTAATTCATGAGTAAAGGACTCTTTTTGTGTACTCAAAAAGTGAGTACACTCTAGAATCGGTCAGTATGTTCGTCCGTCCGGCCGGCCGTTTACACGATAACTTTTGAAAAGAGAGTCCAATCGCAATGAAATTTTCCACACAGTTCAGTCTTAACAATGTCTCGGTCGAGTTCGAAGATGAGCAGGATCCGTCAGGAAATGGCTGAGTTATAGAAAAAATTGTCATTATTGAGAAGACCATCCCTGAGGAGGGGTACAGGGATTTTTTCAAAAACAAAATTTTTTTCTCCGAATTATTCACAACATATATAAATCGACTCAGTTTTTAACGCTGATTCCGAATCTGATATTAGTTTTGAACCAAATCGTAGTTTTCTAATAAAACATCCCCTGAAAAAGGTCTCAAAATGCAGAAAAACTGCTTGAAGAAAGCAAATTGACTAGATATGTCTCAGTTGATAAAAAACAAAGTGAATATACCTCTTCACTTTTTGAAGTACACATAACACTCGGATTTAAATCCGATGTTTTCGTATTTATTTTTTGTTCGTGCTACATGTTTAGAAATATATAATATTCATCTTTGAGAAACTTAACAAATATACACAACTATAACATTGTACAAAAAAGAAAATCTGAATGAAAAAAGGAAAATGAATATTTTTTTTTGAAGCCATTCTAATTAGCCGACTATTAATAATTCAATAAACCAATCGGATCGAACCATTAACGAAATTCTTGATCGATTATAACTCTCTGGTAACTAATTAATTATAATAATATGTTATATATAGAGTCAATCATATTTAATTCAGATTTGCTTTCGGTTAAGAATTCATTCGACGATATTGGGAATCAGTAAGAATGCACTGTTTCATTAATGTTTTATGTTTAAATACACTATTCGAGATTCATGCAAAAAAAAAAAGAAAGAAAAATTGACTTATGGTTTCTATTGAGACGAAAAAATTTGTTTTAATCAACAATGATTCTTTTGAGAGATATAACTGTCTTATATATTTATTTATGTAAAAAAAAAACTATCGATAAATAAATATTAAAATGGTTTTATTTTGAAACAAGGTGGTGGAGGTTGTGTATTTCCTTGTGCAATTCCTTCTACACCTTCACAAGCATAATAACGTTTACCCCATGGAAGAAAACCAGGTTTAGTCACCAATACATTATCAAATAAAACATTTAGCATTGGATTAGATGAATTACCAAGTATAACACCAGGACTTAAATGAGGTTCATTAACAGTAATATTACGTAAAATAATATTATTCCAAGTAATACCAATTGGAATAGGACAAGATGTGTCAGGTATAAATGGCCATAGAAGTGAACAAGCATCTTTATAACCAGCTTGTTGTGGTCCAATCCATATAGCCCATTGAGAAGCATTATTAATAAGAATATTTTCATATATAACATTTGTAATTTCACCTGTATGTCCAATTTGTCCTGGACGTGATTTTAAATAAATACCTTTAAAAGTATTGTACATAGTACAATCACGAAATGTAATATTACGAACGCAAGTATGTGTGGCAGATGGACCGATAGAGCCAATAGTTAAACCTACACCTGAAGCATTAATACGTTCAAAAAGCATATTTTCACTGCAAGACGAATGAATACTACTTGAACTTTGTTCTTTAACTGCAATACAATCATCATCATTCCAAATATTACAATCATGAATCCATACATTCGTACCAGCAACATCAAATCCATCAGTATTAAAAGCTGTCATTTCATTTAAATCATGATGTTGAGCATCTGGACGTCTACGTGCATCAACATCTGTATGACGAATTTCTAAATTAGCAATATCATTAGCAAGAAATGTCCAATAAGGAGAATTTTTTAATAATATATTTTCAACTAAAAGATTAGTTGAATTATAAATTGATAATAAACGTGGTCGATTTTCACCAATTAATAAATATTCTACGAGACCCCACCAATTTTGACCTGATCCATCAATAATACCTTTATGTCCTAAAGGTAATGAACTAGTAAATGTAACATAATTTAATTGTTCAAAAAAGAAACATTCATGAACTTGTTGAGTTTGAGGATTACGAGGCCATACAGTTTGATCATCAGAAAATTTAAGAATTCCATCTATTTGAATAGTTACATAAGCAAGTTCACGTGCATAAATACCACCCATTAACCAAAATGTTTTATTAAAAGGTATAAGTAGAGTATCTCCATGTTGCATAGTAGCAAAAGTTTGATTAAGAAGATGTGCATTTGCCCAACATGTATCCAACGAACTATTATCAGCAATACCTCCAATTGTTTCAAAATTAATTATTCGATTATTTTCTACTAATATATTATGTTTTATTTTATGAGAAGGTATGATTCTAGATAAACTTGTAGCCGATATAGAATAAGAACTGAGAATAAATCCAAGAAAAATAAAAAACATAATTAACTTTTGTTGACCGTTCTCTTACAAAATATATTAAAATAAATTTAAGCACAGTACTCAACGATTACTAGAGAATAGATAAGGATATTTACATTCTTATCTTTTTTTGTTTTGTTTGTATCGTAGTCATTTTTCTTCTATAATGAAATAAGTTCTTTGCAAAAAGTATGTTCGTATTATGGCCTAGAAATGTGCACCTATCTATTTATCATCATTGTAGCAAAGAATATTTATTTATTTCAAAACATCATCAGTCTATAAAGTCTTTATAGGATCAGTATTTAGCAAAACGAAACTTTTATGTTTCATAATATGACTTCAAAATTAATCTATTCTTTGATTTAAATGAATTTCGTATAAAATAAAATTTGTCTTACAAAAGAAAAAAAAAACAAAGCATGATATGACAATAAACTTTACACACACACACACTTTCATATGAATATCAAGTAATCATTGCACTTTTCTCAGTATTGGCTTTAGTTTGTTGTTCTTCTTCTTCTTGTAAAGCTTTTGCACCTTCTTTACTTTCATTAAATCGATAAATTGGAAAATCAAGAAAGATCCAACGTAAAAATTCTGGAAATTGTCGATAAATAAAATTTGGAAATGGAATAAGAATAGATGTTTCTTTGACATATTCATTATATCTTGACCAAGCACTTTTAACATCGGGATCTTGAATAGCACGTTGATCAGCATTCGGTCCATTTGACATTAAGAAAAATTTTTTTCCTGTTGGCTTCTGTGTTAGTGGAAGTCCACTAAGTCCAAGAAGAAGAATCATAGTAAAAATTGGACTTAATATACTTGCCCATAAAGCTTTTTTAATATTATCATTTGCAATATCAGATATTGCAACACTATTAACAATAATAAATATACCCCACCAAAGTAAAATTTCACCAAAATAATTTGGAGCTCTACTAAATTTCCATAGACCATAATGCATGAATTGTGATTTTGGTGGTTTTGAAAATCTCCAAATAAATTTATGAAAATCTGCAACAACTTCACAAATGAATCCTATTGACCACAAAATAATACCAACAATATCTCGTGCACCTAACGTTGGATTTCCACCTCCTTGACTAGGAATAGAAGCAGCTGGAGAATTAAGTAATGTGACTGGAAGTGATACAGTCCACACCCAAAGAATTTGAAGAATATAGAAAACAACCATAGCTAAAGGTTTTTTTCTTTTATCATCGAATCGAGTATCTTTACCACCTGATTTTATAACACGAATCAAAAGAAAAATAGCCAATCGTACTGCCCATACCTATGAATTTAGTATTGTTTTTATCTTACGAAAATACAGCAATCATTCTTACCATGACTAGTACAGAAACGATAATATTACGTGTATAATATGTACCACCAAAGTTTAAAGTTACAAGAGCTAAAATTAAAAAATTCGAACCACCTGCAAAATCATTGATCGTTTCATCACCAAATATTAACATAATAAGAAATGCTAATGCTTCTATTAGCAGGAAATAAAAATAAAAGAAATATTTTTTCATATATATATATATATATATATTTGTTTTACTTACGATATCCTACAGTGATTACAGCAGTTACACCTAGATAATATTCATCGAATACATAGACTACCATTTTAATTCAATTAGAACTAAAAAGATACAAATTGAAAAAGATTTTCTACATAATTCTCAATACTCTACATTTAGGTACAATATCAACCCATTCTATTCCAATAACTGCTGTTCTTGATTGCTATTTTTTTCATGATATAGTAAATTAAAAATGAAAATTGTTATGCGTAAGTCGTCTAGATGTGTCTGCGTTTCTTTGATGTAACTTCATTTAAATAATTAAATCATAAATCAACTCAAGACCTGTCTAAAACAAACTCCAATCAAGTCAAGCCCAATCATAAGCTAGTCAAAGAATTTTCAAATAAAAAAAGATGATATAATTTACCTAGTTTTGAATAATTCAGGCTTCTGAAAAGTGAACTTTCAAAATATTCTATCTACCTTAAAAATCTCACTTATTTTTCAAAGAAAACTTGGTTACATAATTTTACATATTATTTTAAATGTTAACATAAAAAATGAAGCAGTGTTATATAACAAGTACCAGATATTTCCAGTACACAATAGAAAAAAAATATTTTGCATCATTTCTTTCTTTCGTTCTGTCGTGAGATGAATAGAGCGAAGAAAAGATTTGTCAGACAGCCATTACACACGTTTTTTCCTTCATCATGATGGTTACCAATGAATGATAGACATAAATAAGAAACTTACCATTAGCACTAATGAATTATCATATTTTCTCAGAAAAAAAGTTTTTGATGAAAACCAAGAAAAAAATTATCTCGAACTTTGAAAAAAAATACTAACGAAGAAATGACTCGAACTGAAACCCGCCATTCAGACTCGTATCGAACTCACAAGGAGGTCTCGATATTGCGATATATCCAACTACGATAATCGTGAGCTGAAACGGGATAAATCATTGATTTTTTTCCGATTATTCTAATGAATTTTGTGATTTATGATCGATTATTATCCTTCATTATATGGATAATAGAAGTGATTTTGTTCATGTAATCTCGGTTTTTATCATTATGTTGACGAATATTTATATTAAATACTAATACTTAAATGAGAAGTAAAACGAAAACATTCATATGTATAAATGGATGTTTTAAAATGAGTTTTTCTATGAAATCACTCAATAGATAGAAGTTTAGTTCTATTGGTTTTTTTAGAATTGTCCAATCTCGTTAACCCTTTCAATCCCATCATTTTCTTGCATTCTGCACGAACATGAAAAAAGATAGTTTAATCTCTCTCTCTCTTGCGTTCAGCTATCGCAATCATATGTTTTCGAATTCTAGATTCATTATTCATATGCATACGAGGTGATTTTCATTGTCTTATTATTTTTTGAGTTTACGCTCTACAGATCATCTAGACACAAAAAGACAACTTTGACGTGTACGTCAAAAACGTAAATTAAAAATCTTGTGAAGAAGTACATGGATGTGATGTTTCTCATCGAATCAAATATAAGTTCTTTGTATACATCTATTTTATGCAATCAACGACGTAATAATAATATTAATCAAACAACTTTCATTATATGAAGACTAATAGATTATCTAAGAATTTCTTTTTCCTCACAGTGCTCTGATTTAGACATATTAATTAAAAGCTATGACAGTATTACCTATATATGTTTCAGTGCAGAAAAATAGATATAGCATTTATTTGGTATCTTTATTTCTTTTTTAACGTAAATCTTTCTGTATCATTCAAAGTTGTACAGATGTCATCGAATGATAGTGCAGTTCTATTGTGGTCTAATGCCACGACTCAACTCAATCGTTATTTCTCAATCATTATTTTTCTATTCGGTATTATTGGTAATATACTCAATATTTTGGTTCTTTCTCAACGAAATCTACGTTCAAATCCTTGTGCATCACTTTTTCTTGCTTCATCAATCGCAAGTTTAGTAGCAATTTTTTCTGGTCTTTTCACTCGAACAACTTCTGGTTGGGCAATGGATTTAACAAATACTATAACATGGCTTTGTCAATTGCGTACATTCGTAGTATTTGCTTCAAGAACAGTTGCCTATTGTCTTATTGCCTTAGCTACCATTGATAGATGGTTATCATCATGTTCTGATATTCGTCGACGGCAAATGAGTACAATAAGAAATGCTCAACAAGGCATGATAATTATTTTAATTTTTTCATGTCTTTTCTATGTTCAAATGTTTTATTGCTATGAAGCAAATCTTGTCAATACTCCACTTAAATGTTATGGAAAAACAATAGCATGCCGTCTTTTAACTGATCTTACTTATGCATTTGCTGCTAATATATTTCCTTTAGTTATTATGCTTTGTTTTGGATTAGCGACTATTATAAATGTACGTGAAGCTAAACGTCGAATTCAAAATATAAATATGTCGAGTTTATCAGGAATAATAATAAGTAGTCAATATCGATCGAAAAAAACCGATCATTATCTTCTTATTATGCTTTTTGTACAAGTAATTCTATTTGCTGTATTTACTCTACCACAAAATATTCAAAAATTTATTTCACTTGCTCAATCAAATCAAACTAAAACAGCATTGAATAGTGCAATTGAAAATTTTATTTTTAATTTTTTTCTACTTTTTGCTTATCTTGCTAATGGAATGTCATTTTATATCTATACACTTTTTGGTGGAAGTGTTTTTCGAAATGAACTATTAAAATTAGCACAAAGTGTACGTGAAATATTTTGAATGTTTATTTATTTTCTTAATAAATAATATTTGTTCAACAGTCAACGATTATTTAACTGAGAAATTAAATCTAATATAAGCTTATAGAAAAATTAATCTTATTGAATGATAAAATAGGTTTTATATTACTCTACTTGTTTTCATGTTAATAATCCTATATTCATAATTAATGTTTATATTTTTATTCGAAAGTGCTGATGATGAGATAATTATAAAAAATCTAGTTTTTAGTATTTGATAAATTGCATCAAAAAATGGGTAACAATATTTTTGATCATCAAAATTCTCAAGTACTTATTTCGTATTATCTTCTTCAGTAGAGGTTGTGGCATCTTCTTCTTATCCACACTCACTGCCAAACTTACTCGTAATAATTGTCACATGGTCAAGTGAATTGACTACATGTAGTAGAATCCAGTCTGATTTCTATGTTGACATTTTCACAAATGAAAATCGATATGTACTTTTGTTTAGATGCACACATCCTAATCACTAATTAGTGTTGTAGGTGTCTTGTAGAAGCATCTAATAAGAAAAAAAATGAAAAATCATAATTTGAAAAAAAAATCATGATCAAAAGTACTTTTTCCCTCAAAATATTCCTATGGCTTAGCTTATGAACATATGAATTCTATTATTATTAATACACAATGCTCAAGTGTAGAAAGAAAAAGAAATTATTTTTGTTACATTCAGAAAAGTGAATGATAAGGGAA